AAGTTTCCTCTCTTTCCTCTCCCTCTTCCTCCTTCTCCTCCTCCTCTTCCTCCTCTTTCCTCCTTAATTCCTTTTAAACATTTTATTCATTCATTTGATACTTTCTTTGATTATAAAAACAAAAACAAGTTCTCATTCATTTCATATACTTTTTCTTTCATTCTTTATCTCGTATATCTTATCTACCATATCTATTTATCTAATCTATTTATTTATCTATCTATCTAGTTATCCCTCTACCTATCTATTTATCTATTTATTTATCTATCCACATCTATCTATCTCTCTATCTATCCCTCTATCCCTCTATCCATTTATCTATCTATCTATCTATCTGTCCATCTATCTATCTATCTATCCATTTATCTACACCTATCTGTCTACCTCTCTGTCCATCTGTCTCTATCTATCTATCTAATCTATCTACATCTATCTATCTATCTATCTATCTATCTGTCCCTCTATCTATCTATCCATATTATTGGCATTATTGATGTCTTTGTCACATTCATCTCTGAGTTTACTTAGAAAAAAAAAAAAGAAGCCTTAAATCAATGGTTTTCTTTACATCTAAATGATTTTTGAATGTATAAGTACATATATATGTATGTATAGATGTCCTTGAAAATGTCATTTTTCGAGAAAAAAAAAAAGTGCTGAAAGATGTCATTATTGATTGATTTACTTATATATTTGTATATAAAATGCCATCTTTCAAAAGCCTAATGTTAAAGGATATGATTATTGATCGATTCATTTTTATCTTTATACTTGTATAATTCTTGGAAATATTACTTGTTAAGAATTTAATTGTCAAACAATGCCATTACGATGATTAATTTCATTTTTTAAAAAAAAAAAAAAAAAAAGGAAATTATTAATATCATTTTTCATTTTTTAATTAATCTCTCTACAAATATTTTACATTATTCAAAAAAATTTTATTCTTCACATTGAAATATTCTAAAAGTATATTGCAAAAAAAAAAAGAAAAAAATTTTTTTTAATTTTTCACTTTTCATATAAATTCAAAATTTTCACAATACAATCTTTGGTATTTAAAAAAACTCAATCATTCAATCAAATTAATAATATACCGTATGATTGTTAAAATATTAACTCATACATCCTCATTCTTCCAATTCCTTTTGCTTATTTTCCTGTTAATCCGTTTTAAAATGCAATAATTAATCAAAAATTTCACTTATGACAATATCATTTCCGGTAATTTATCCGTTATCTTTTGATATTAACAATCAATAATTTTGGATAAAATTGGATGATCCAATCAATAATTTGGATAAGATTGGATGATCCAATCAATAATT